AATGTAACAAAATTCAGTGAGAGAAAAAATTCAAATAAGGCAGATAAAATTCATCTAAGTGATACTAATGGGAAACAAACTTTAGAGAAAATTGTATAGGCCAGAGAAAATTATAGACAAGGAGATAATTTTATGAGGCAGAGAAAATTATGAAACAAGCAACATAATTTAGATATCAGAGAAAATCAATCAGGGCATATAAGTTAGTGTTACTATAATTATGTTAGAGAAATTTGGATTCCAAAGAAAATTCATTACAAGGGCAGAAATAAACAGTGTTAATCAAAAAAGCAAGGCACATAAGTTATGGGCCAGAGAAAATTACACACAATGAGAAACAATTTTATGGGCTAGAGAAAATTATGAAACAACCAACATAATTCAGATATCAGAGAAAATCAATCAGGACATATAAGTTAATGTGTTACAATTGTGGTCACAGAAATTTGGATTTTAGAGAAAATTGATTACAATGGCTGAAATAAACCAATGGTAATCAAAGAAGAAACATAAATTGATAGTTCGGAGAAAATTCATCTAAATCAATCAAGGCACAAGAAACAAACTAGTGGTCAGAGAAATTTTGAAATTTCACTGAGATTTCAGTGGCGATAGAAATCTAACCTGTTGAGGTGCAAGAGAGTGGACTGGTGTCTTCTGCAGCTGTTTGGTCAAGCTTTGCAGGTTCCACTTGGCGCATCTTGGGAATTCAGTTGTGTTACTGTCTTTCGAGTCAATGATATTCACATGTTCACATAGCCAATATTGTGATGGAAATTAAAGTAATTAAATTTTGCTAAACACACAAATTTGTAAGTATGATAACTGTAAATTTGAATAGAAATTATACTTACCAGTAATGCAATGACACATCCCGTAACTTTTTCTGGAGTTTTGTGCAATGCTATGATAGAATCAATCAATGTTGTTGTGATTGCTTCTGGCCAATCATACTGTTTCATTGATTCAAGAGGTTCTACATACTTTATAAAAACCCACCCTATTGAATTCCCACTTGTTGCAAAAAATAGGGTGAGATACAAGTACAATATAACAATGATTGCTACATATAGTTGGTTGTTTGCCTTTCATTGCTTTGACCAAGGTATTTTTAAGAACAGGACCAGTGAGTCTTGTGTCCTTTTGGAATCTTCTCCTTAGAAATGCAGATTTTGGATTTTTAGAGTATCTTAATGACATGGGTCCATTACCTCATTGCAAACCAAAAATCAAGGTCATGTCATTGGTTGAAAAGGTCAAGTTCTTTTTACCAACTGTGAATGCTTTTATTTTTTCATTGTAACATTGGATTATTGCAACTACATCATTATCAGATTTCTTAGATTTCCTTGGATCCATCCTTCCAATGGTTAGAGCTTGGATCAAATACTAGAATAGGGTCTTTTGAAGCTCTACAAGTTGGTTTGAATTAAATTTAAGTGTATGAAAAAAGGAGACAACAGATGAGAGGTTGGATCGGTATTGAATGCTGTAATGAGTTCTCTTTCTTTGGAGTTTAACAAGTTTTTTCCTCCTTGAGCTTGAGTCTTTTGAAGTTGGGGTATTCGTCTTGATGCTAGTTGCTTCATCACCTTGGATTTGTGTATTTTGGGAAGGAGTGTGTGGTGTTTTGCTGCTTTTTGATCTTAGATCATAAGAAGACTAAGAGAGTTTCTGTTTCTTGCTCGGTGTTTCCGGTGTTTTGCTACTTTTACGTTTTGCCATTTCTAGACAATGATGAAAACATAAAGATGTCAACGTTAAATCCCAGAGAAAATTAGACATGCCAAAGAAAATTAGACACTAAAAATTAAATGTCAGAGTACTAATTGTTTTCCTGTGGAATACATCTAGCCACAGAGAATTTCCATTCCCAGAGAAAATCAACAAAGCTACATAAACATGGCAGATAAATTTTTAATAATTGTTAAAATTACATATAGAAGTAAAATATAGTCAGGAAAAATTCAAAAAAGAAACATATATCTAGCAAGCACAGAAAATGAATGAAAGAGAAAAGTAAACATGGCAAGCCAAAGAAAATTTTCATTCCACAATTAGCAAGATAATTAAAGAAAGCAACATAAACATGCCACTGAAAATTACACAACATTGAAACCAATAATTGAACAAAATAAACATACCAGAGAAAATTATACATTCTAGAGAAAATTACACATTTCTTACAAAATTTCTATTCCAGAGAAAATTTCCAGTCCATAATATTAAAATGCCAAAGAAATTTACATACACAACCAGAGAAAATTAAACAAGATAGAGACACACAAAGAAGAAAAATGATGTGGCCAGAGAAAATTATAAATGCCAGAGAAACTTATAAATGCCAGAGAAACTTAGACACAGACAAAAGAGTAAAAGACATTCCAGAGAAAGATAAACATTCTAAAGACAAATACATATTCCAGAGAAATTTCCAAAGCAAAGAAATTTATAGACAAAATCATAGAAACATGTTCAAGAATAAGATCAAAACACAGAGAAATAACTTTTTCAAAATAAACATGCCAGAGAAAATTCAAAGAAGAAACATACATTCCAGTCAATAATATTAAAATGCCAGAGAAATTTACATACACAACCAGAGAAAATTAAACATGATAGAGACACACAAGGGAGAAAAGTGATGTGGCCAGAGAAAATTATAAATGTCAGAGAAACTTAGACACAGACAAGAGAGTAATAGAGATTCCTGAGAAAGATAGACATTCTAGAGAAAAATACATATTCCAAAGAAATTTATAGAGCAGAGAAATTTATAGACAAAATCATAGAAATATGTTCAAGAATAAAATCAAAACACAGAGAAATAACTTTTTTTTTCAAAATAAACATGCCGGAGAAAATTCAAAGAAGAAACATACATCAAGCAAAAACCAGAGAAATTTAAATACCAGAGAAATTTACAAGTAAAATCACACAAATATGTTCAAGAATAAGTTCAAAACACAGACAAATAACTTTTTTCAAATTCATGCAGCTTTTTATTACGAAATTGAAACCCTAATTAATGGAAGGTTAACATAAAATGCAATTAACTGTGTTTCCAGAGAAAATCTAGGTGGATTGTAGAAAAACTTACCAGAGTTAGGATGAAACTTTAATTACGAACTGATATGCCCTGAGATGAAGATGCGATGTGACGAAGATGAACTGAGATGACGATGAACAGTGAAAATGGGGTCAGAGAAATTTGTGAGAAAGGAATGAAAATGATTTTTGCAGAAGATAATGAAACTCTAATGTTGATGGTGAAGATGATATTGAAACCCTAATTCTGTTTTTCTCTTGCTCGTGAAGATGGTTGGATGCTTGGAATGGAACTCAGTCGTTGGAATCCAATTTCGTTTTTGTGTTGATTTGTGAAGGGTATTTTTGTCCACGAAATAATTAAAAATGCGCGCCATATAGTTCAGGGACCTGATGCATCACTCTTTTTTTTCTTGGTGTCCTTTATGCTCAAAATTAGTATTATTAGGGACCTTAAAAAAAATTCTCCTTTTTATAATACATCTACTTTTTAGTTTATCCCGCACGAACACTAATTAATTAAATACAGAATTATAAGCTAATCGACACACAAACATATAGATATATAGAGAAATTTTTGGAGTGTTGCACCCCTAATCATGACATTTGCATTCGTTAGTTATAATCTATTATATTATTAGTTATGACTGATTGTAATATTAGTTATGATCTAATAATTTTATATTATATATATGTAATACTTGATTATAACTTAATTTTTTTTATTATAACTTTTATAATATTAAGTTATATTATTTATAATGACCAAATATATAAATAACATGATTTACATATAGTGCACGCTCTTTAACTTTAACTATATAAATAATATATGATTAGATGAGGTGATACTCTATTATTTTTACATATAAAGGGACAGACAAGAGTTTCTGTAAAATCACAATTCCACGTTCATTGTATATAAGCAAAAGAACAAAATGAAGGGGCTTAAAAATCACAACGATAGCAGTCATCATGGTGTACGGGTTTGATTTTAAAACAGCATTTTAGCTAAATATTACAAAAACGTAACTGTGACACATTGGCTTGTAGTATACCACTATTGACTAGCTCTATCTGACAGTTCTAGAAACATTGGCTTGTAATATACCACAATTGACTATCTCTATCTGGCACTTCTTGAACATGTCTGCGTATTTGGGCGAAATATTTGGTAGAGTAGCTGGGCTCGTTCCCCAAATAACACCCAACCAACCATTAAAAGAAAAAAGAAAATCATTTAATGCACATTAATATATATTTGAGAGATAAAATACTTGAATATATACTTAGCCTCCGTTTGACAAAGTGATTTTTAGATTTTTTTTAGTTATTTTAATTACAAAAGATAAAATAGGTTATTTTAGTCACAAAAAATAAAACATCGCATCCAACTCATAATCATTACATTCTTCTCTTACAAAAAAAGTCAAAAAAATCAAAAAATCAAAAAGGCCTTTCCAAATCAAACTTTTTAGCCCAGGCTAAAATAGTCAAAAAAGTCAAAAAGTCAACCTACTTCCCAAACGAAAATTTTTGACATAATACAATTATTCTGAGACTTGAACTCATTACTAAAGATTATTAGGATAAAATTTTACCATTAGTCACGGAAAAGTTTACAATATGCACCATTTTTAAATGATACACATTGTAAAAAGTTATGATTTTTTTTTATGATGAACATTATGATTGTTTGTAATGTGTGTTATGACATTTTGTAATAAAGTTATAAATAGTGAATTTATGATGTGTATCCTAAAGTTAGGAATGAAAATGTTATGATATTTTGTAATTTTTATTATGTCACTTTGAGATTTTGTTATGATATTTTTCAGTGAAAAAAATTATGACTTTTGTATTGAAAAAATTATGAAACAAATACCGTATACACATTTTTGAGAGTTCACTCCAACCAACCATCACTCCTATAAATTCCTATCCACTTCCTCATACAATTGAAAGAAGAAAAACTAAAACATCCTTTTCATCATCAAACTTTTTTTGGGGGGTTATTCTATCATCAAACTTTGCCTGCTGCTTGTTTTAGTGCAATATCTGCAGATCCAATATGGGTTTTGTTGTGGGAACCATAAGCATCCTTATTTCAAGCAGTGTGTGTTTGTACTTGCTCTTGGTTCTCATCAACCTCTTTCACAAACTATGGTGGACTCCAATTAAGATAGAGCGTATGCTGAATTCACAAGGAATTGGAGGCCCAGGCTACAGATTCATCCATGGAAACACCAAAGAAATCCGCACCATGAGAGCCGAGTCCATTAGCAAACCCATGGATTTATCCCATCAAGTATTTCAGAGACTCCAGCCTCATATACACTCTTGGCTCAAGATTTACGGTACTTACTCATCATTAGTTTCATAATTTTATTTTATTTTTGACATATTACGAGAGTAGTCTCTATATTTAGTTCTCCATGTGTCATTTTGGTCTTTATAATTTTAATTTACTCATTTTATTTTAATTTGATCCAAAACATTTTTATTTTATAAAAAATGCATAGAAGTGACGTGTATTATATTTTTGAAATGAAATTATAAACTTGCTACATTCGGTGAGTAATTTCAATCAATTTAATAATTATTTACTATAAAAATATATTATCAATTAGATTAAATTGATATAAAATTTAAAATTAAAAATTAAAATTGAATCAATTAAAAATTTAAAAACTAAAATGATATAATGAACAAAATATAGGACCACCAATGTAAATTATCTTCTTTTTTTTTTTTCTTCAATCCTAGTTTGATTTTCTTTCATGATTTTAAATTGCGGTGTCGAAACGTGTGAGGATATCAATTGTGGTCTAACTGTGTCGAGTACATATCAAGTGCATGTTTGGGTAGAACTAAAAAAACAAAAGAAAGTTAAAAAGTCATTATAGAAGCCAATATATATATATATATATATAGTTTGTACTCAAACACAACAGATTGGGGTTGAAGGAGATAAAAATAACCGAAAACGAAAATAAAAAAAAAAAAAAAAAAAAAAAAAACTGTGTACATATCTTCTCTGGAGCCCCCACTACACATTGCATGCACAAGCCGTACTCGTCTTGTCACGTGACGCACAGTCAGTACCAATAGGGGAGTAGGGGCAAACAGGTCATTTGCATATTTATTATAATATTATAATATACATTTCTTTCGTAAAAACATTTTTTTTTTCCTAACTTCTTTTTGGCAAAAAATCATAAAGTACTTATAGATCATTCCAAATAATTTCAAAATGGAATAAAGCCGTTATGAATTTTTAAATTCATAAATAACACTTCTAAAACTCAATCGTCATGTTTTATAAAAAATAAAAAAAAAATTAAAATTTTTATATTTTAAGCAACAGTAGCTTTATCCTTATATGAGGCGGATAACATATATGTTTTTAAATATATACAATTAATCTGTTGAAGTGACGGTTTTGTTATTAGGGAAATGTTTTACACTTACCAAGAGTAAGAAAAGTTACCAGTTTCGTTATGATCGATGAAGCTATGATTTGCACCTCTAAAGTTGTGAATAACGAAAGTCATATTTTTTTTTGTTATAAAAGTATTGCCCCTCTAAAGTTGAGAATAACCAAAGTTATATATATATTTTTTTTTTTATAAAAGTAAATACTTTTTGTGAGGAGCACAAAAATTAGATTTTTTGTGATCAAATCATATCATACGTATCATTTTTCGAGTTCATATGGTAGCCTTTCTCCTATTATGAATCGATGTCAATATCTAGTTCACAATGTCACGCATTGCAAATTGGCTACTTTTGTTTATTCATTTATTTAATTATTAGCTGCTTTTGTTTATTTATTTATTTAATTTTTGGGGGTGAAACAGGAAAGAATTTTCTTATGTGGAATGGTCCAAAAGCTCAGTTAGTCATTACGGACTCGGAGTTTGCCAAAGAAATACTCAAAAACAAAGAAAAAGCTTACATTCAAATGGAAATAGAAGGCTACTTAAAGAAGCTATTGGGTAATAACAGTATTGTGACATCTGAAGGTGAAAAATGGTCAAAGTTACGAAAACTAGGCAACCATGCTCTTCATGCAGAGAGTTTGAAAGTACGCTTATACTAAACTTCTTCTTCTTCTTCTTATTATTATTATTATTATTATTATTATGCCACACCATTAAAATATTGATGATAAAATGTCTAATAATTTAAAAATTGTTAAATTAATTACAAATCAGTAGAGTGCAAGTAGTGTATAATATGAATCGTGCTCCATTTGTATGAAGGGTATTGGTGTCACATTCACTTCATCAATTTACGATTAATTTTTCTCATATCTAATTCTTATGATAATTCTCCAATAAAGCTTGCATAATGCATCATTATTACCAAATAATTTTTAATTTTGTTAGATTAGTGACAATGGTGTATATCTATTGTATAGAACATGGTTCCAGCAATGATCTCTAGTGTGGAGATGATGTTAGAAAGGTGGAAGCATTGTGAAGGCGAAGAAATTGAGGTGTATGAAGAGTTTAGATTATTAACATCAGAAGTTATTTCAAGAACAGCTTTTGGGAGTAGTTATTTAGAAGGAAAAGACATATTTGAGATGTTGACGCAGTTGGGTATTATAACTGTCAGAAATGTTTTCAAAATCAAGCTTCCTGTTATCAGGTAAATTCATTTTGTTAAATTTCAGTCTTATTAACAGTAATCCTAACTTGATTATATTTCGATTCAATTGCACGTGGCTTTATACATGGACTAACCACTTCATTTGATGGGCCCCACAAGATATTAGTGTCATTGCTTCCTAAATAAAGGTGGGACAATTCATATGACGTGGGTAGTGAAATGTAAGATACCAAATTAAACACTACCCAATATATTTTCCACAACATTACTTACAAATTAATCATTATGAAATATTTTTGTATGAAGATTCTTCTATTTTCTTTTTTTCTAGCTAATGTAATATTATTCATTAAGATAGAATAAGCTTATAATAGAATATAGATCCGTAACAAAATAATTTTTTGCAGAAAAAAAGAAAAAATAAATAAATGAAGAAGAGAATTCCAAAATCATAAACTTGTTAGGTTTTTCCTATTTCACTGACTAGCTTTAGGCTTTCTTTCTATCAAGTAAGGACAACAATCAAATGTAGATAGTCAGGCAGTATCCTTCATTTTTTTTTTTATCGTTTCATTAAATTTTCCAATTCATGGAAGCAGAGAAGAAAAGAAAACTTTCCCTGCAAGGAGTATCAATTTTCCAATTCATGTCAATAGTTAGGCCAATGCTTGATGGTTTAGAAACATAACATCTGCCTTCTAGAAAAGAAAACTTTTATTTGTGGTGGTAGTTCAATATTAAAGTAACCAATGATACTGATGCTGCAAATTATAATTACTTGATCTATTCAATTGTACTCAAAGTACAAAATATTCAAAGATTCTAATATTTTCCCAACAAGAAGTATAATTTTGATTGATCATTTATACATTTGTGCAGTCAATTTTGGAAAAGTATTGACGGTATAGAATCTGAAAAACTTGAAGAAGGGATACGAGATTCTATTTTAGAGATTATAAAGAAAAGAGAAAACGCAATGGCAGAAGTTGGCAACTATGGGACTGATCTTCTTGGACTACTTGTGAAGGCAAGTCATGATGAAGATGAGAATAAGAGGATTACAGTGGAAACTGTGATTGATGAGTGCAAGGCCATTTACATTGCTGGACATGAAACTACAACCACCTTGCTTTCATGGTCTGGTCTTCTTCTAGCAATCCATACAGATTGGCAAGAGGAAGCAAGAAAGGAGGTCCTTGAGATGTTTGGCCAGCAACATCCAAATGCAGAAGGCATTCCAAGAATGAAAAAGGTACACAAACACTAGTGATAACAAAATCAAACTACATCTCCTCTAGTACAAATATAATGAAGAACGCATACCATTTAATATTAACTGGACTTTTCTTTTCCTTTTTGGTACAGATGAGCATGATCATTAATGAGTCTCTAAGACTATATCCTCCTATCATGTATATTACAAAAAAAGCTCAACGGAAAGTCAAACTGGGACAACTTACTCTTCCGGCCAATATAAATGTGACTATTTTGATATTGGCACTTCATTTTGATCCTCAAATATGGGGAGATGATGTGTATCTTTTCAAACCAGAACGATTTTCAGAAGGAATTGCTAAAGCTACCAACAACAACCCAGGAGTGTATCTTCCTTTCGGTTTTGGACAACGAAGTTGTGTTGGCATGAACTTTGCAATCAATGAAACAAAAATTGCCTTGTCAATGATTCTGCAACGCTACGCCTTTACTCTATCCCCAACCTATAGTCACTCGCCAGTCCAACTTTTAACAGTTCGTCCGCAACATGGGATTCAAGTCAAGCTTCATCCTCTCTAGTATAGTATAGACAAGTTTTGCTAGTAAGTTGGTTTTTTTGGGTGAAGATAGTAATAAACCTTTGCAGTTTCTATTCAATCAGTTGTACACTATGATGGCATTTGAAGATTGTTGAACTATGGTGGAGTGAGTGACTAATAAAGTTTTGTAAAAATATTTCTATATATATATCAATAATCACATTAGTTTTATAAAGACATGGTCAATTTTAACATTTATTTAATATAATTAATGCCCTTGACTATTTGTTTGATCTCAATATAATCCCTTCTTATTTAAATTCTGAGGCGAGTATGTTTGATTGAGCATTTGAGCCAATGGAGTGGAGACAATTGGAACGTGGAGCGTCATAGTGATCAATGGATTTATAAAGCTTGACTTGTAATGGAGATCAGGCTTTTTTAAGTTTGTGGTGCGTTCAATTGCATTGTAGGTATAAGATATAACTTGGGTTAGAGTTTGTGAGACTTTCAATTATGCCTTCTAACTGTTCGATTCATTGTTTAATAGAAAGTGAGTATTCGGTGGTAGTGTTTTCACATAGGGTTTTCCAAGAGTTTTGATTGTTCCTTCTTTTTTGTGATGAGATTGATAAAGCATATTGTTGAATTGCTTGATCGATGGTTTGGTTAATTGAGTAGTTGTCTAATTAATTATTGAAATTTCTTGAAATCAATTAATCTGTTGATATCTGTCTTAATCAGTTAAAATTGAAAGTGATATTTTTAATTTGACTTATCCACACTCTCCAGGGTTAATTATTGTTATTGTTATTGTGATTGTTTCATCTTGCTCTGAGATTTCTGTATTTTCTGTAACTGAAAATTTTCTTCAAAGAAGTGTTCGCTTTATGTTAATGGAATCTGATCCCAATAGGAAGGGAATAAGGGAAGAGGGTAGGTTGTACAATGGTGAGATTCGAATTTAGACATCACACTTGATGAGAGAGTGAACTATGCCAACTACAATAACATTATGTACTTAGAATTTTTACTCATAATTTTACCTAGAAACATTAACATGTGATTTAGATTCATACTGCATATAGATTGACAATACACCAATTAAATCTTAACCACACTTCATCTTTCTGACAATACACCAATTAAATCTTAACCACACTTCATCTTTCATAGTAATTTTCTTCATTTTTTTCATGTTAAGTAGACTTTTCCATGCCAGCTCCTTTTAACTCTCTCATTTTTTATTTTTTTTTGTTTGTTTGTTTCGTCTATGGTACAACACACTGACACATTTCATATATATATATATATATAAGATATTAGGAAAATTACAAATCAGTGGTACAGTAAAAAATTATTTACATTTTTATAGTGGTGTAAATTTCCTGTGTTTGGTGTAAGTCTTTCATGTGTGTCCAAGTTACTATAAATTTCATGTGCATGTAGTACAAGTCTTTTTATGTGTTTAGTTAGTCCTTCTCGAGTTGCACTAAGAAAGATTTCATCTATGGTACAATTATTTTTCCATTGTCCCATTTATTTGCAATTTCTTCTACGATACATGTGTGTGTGGAAGACAACCTTTTAGGGGACTCAGGAGCTTGACAATGAAATGGTGGATAGGAATGATACGAGAGTACAAAATTGTAAGTAAGTTGCAGAATAATATGTAGGTATAAAGTTTTCTAGATCACTCAATCTAGAGGTTCCCAGTGAAGCTGGAATATAAAGAAAGAACCCAACCCCTTCATCATGAAAGTGATTCTCTGTCTTAGTGGTTGTGCTTAAAAGAAGGAATCCTATTCCATTACTAGAGGATATATACATACATATCTTAATATATATATGTTCAATAGACAATACACCAATAGTTTTAAAAGCCTCTACTATCTTTCATAGTAATTTTCTTCATTTTTTTCATGTTAAGTAGACTTTTCCATGCCAACTCCTTTTAACTCTCTCATTTTTTTTTTTGTTTTGTTTATTTATTTCGTCTATGGTACAACACACTGACACATTTCATATATATATATAGAAGATATTAGGAAAATTACAAATCAGTGGTACAGTAAAAAATTATTTACATTTTTATAGTGGTGTAAATTTCCTGTGTTTGGTGTAAGTCTTTCATGTGTGTCCAAGTTACTATAAATTTCATGTGCATATAGTACAAGTCTTTTTATGTGTTTAGTTAGTCCTTCTCGACTTGCACTAAGAAAGATTTCATCTATGGTACAATTATTTTTCCATTGTCCCATTTATTTGCAATTTCTTCTACGATACATCTGTGTGTGGAAGACAACCTTTTAGGGGACTCAGGAGCTTGACAATGAAATGGTGGATAGGAATGATACGAGAGTACAAAATTGTAAGTAAGTTGCAGAATAATATGTAGGTATAAAGTTTTCTAGATCACTCAATCTGGAGGTTCCCAGTGAAGCTGGAATATAAAGAAAGAACCCAACCCCTTCATCATGAAAGTGATTCTCTGTCTTAGTGGTTGTGCTTAAAAGAAGGAATCCTATTCCATTACTAGAGGATATATACATACATATCTTAATATATATATGTTCAATATAATAATGAATTCTTTTAGTTTTAAAAGCCTCTACTTTCCAAGCTGGATCTCATATTATGCTGATAACCTGCAAACTTGTTCCCACCTACCTAGTGACAGAATCAGAAAATTAAATTAGATGGGGTAGTTATTAATTATAATATCAAAAATTTTTATAAAAATATTTTACGCAAGTTTTTACGATTGATTTCGAGAAACATAAAAAAAATAATATTATTTATAACAAGTGTATCATGGACAATATAAAAAAATATAAATATAAGTCTTAAAATAAATTATATAATGATAAATTATTTTTTTATACAAATTTTGATTAAAAATTCAATATAATGGTAATACCACGTCATCATTAGTATGTGATGTCACCAACTAATAGTAAATAAACATATACAGAGTGAACCTTACATGCCAAATGTAATTAACAATCTAATAAATTTCATATCTTTATAGTGAGATTACTTATACTTTTATGTCAATAATAATGACATCACCGTTACATTCAAAATTTTTCATAAAATTTTTATAGATAATATGGTTTATAATAGTCTCTTCATTTTCAATCAAAATAATTATTATTGTTTTCATAATTTTTAAAATGTCATTCACATTTCATTCTAATAATATTTTTGGAATTTTTTTATTTAAAATATTTTCTTTATATTTGCAAAAAAAAAAAAAAAAAAAAACCCAAAATCACCCCCTGGTCCTCACTTCCCTCCGCCACTGCACCTACCTATCAGTTTATATCCTTTGTATGCAAATAATTGAATGAAAGTCCCATTTTGTTGAGTGGTTTTGTCATAATTGTATACTTGTTCAGCAACATAAAGACTCATTTTCACAGTCTGGACCACTGACATGGATCACATTCGATCTAACAAAGGCTGTTTAGAATTTGAAAATCTCTAATCTTGCATTAAATGCACTATCAAACATATGATAGAAGTGCATTCGGGTCATAAAATCTCTAATCTTTATAGTGAGATTACTTATATTTTTATTCAATTTTTTCTCTCTTTTCCCTTTCTAAGGCCCCCTCTTTTGGCTTGACCGGAAGATATTGGAGGAACAAGGTTGCTAATGGAAGTAGGTTGGGAACAATCTTTAATGATTTGGGTTCTGTATCTAGAGTTGAAAAACAACAAAGCAAAAACAGAAATGATTATTTCGTGTTTAATTTCTTTGATTTCAGAGTGAAATTTCACTAAGAGAAATTTCGATGTGCAAGGTTAGTAAAATATATATTTTTTACACTAGAAAATCTAAAATTGATTGTTGATTGGAAAAAATAGGTGCTTAATTCTAAATTTATTACTAAAAAGTGCAAATTGAAGGTTCCAAAATAACAAATTTTAAATTTTTTTTTATATTAAATTAGTAAAATTTTACTGTATTTATAGTGAAATTTCTTTGACACTGCACAGTGAAATTTTATTGCACAAAATGAGTGAAAAATACTATTTGAACTCTAAAAGATAAAAAAAAAAAATTGAAAGTCAATTGTAATACTTAGGTCCATAATTCTAAAAAAATTCACTGGTTGACGCCAATGTAATTGTACATGTCAAGTGAAATATCATAGGCATCAATCAGAAATTGATAGACTTGGCAAAATTTCACTAATTGAAGGTAGAACAATTACACAAGTTAGAAACTGAGTCAATGAAATTTCATTGATTGAAACCAATGCAATTGCACTAGTCAATGAAATTCACTAACTAAATTCCAGCAAAAATCTAAAATCAATGAACTTGAAAAAATAAAAAAACACAATTCAAATGGGTTGGTTTGGGAAGTGGGTTGGATTTTTTGCTTTTTGGCTTTTTTGGCTATTTTAGCCTGGGCTAAAAGGTCTGGTTTGGGAAGGGCTTTTTAGCGTTTTGGCTTTTTTGACTTTTTTTGTAAGAGAAGTGTAATGATTATGGGTTGGATGTGATGTTTTGTTTTTTATGGCTAAAATAGCCTATTTTGTCTTTTGTGGCTAAAATAGCCTATCAATAACATATACACCAATAACATATACACCAACCAGATCGATAGTAGATGAATGATGTTGAAGAGAGAAAGAAAGAGAAAGAGAGAGATATGAAGCAAACGATGGGATCAACTATATCTAAATTAGAGATGTGCGAACGGTAGTAAATGTTGGTTAACAGTAGAGTGAGTTGTATTGAACGACGGTGGAGCAATATTGATAAATACGACGATCGTAATGCCCCAAATTCCGAGCCCGTAATAAATTAAATAAACTTGAAATTTATAATTTCAGATAACTAATAACTTCAAATGTACAAATCATCTCAAAAAATAATTTACACAGATGTCTTCAAAATATAATTTATATAATTGTCTCTAAAAAATAATATAAATTGGTAGGTCCAAAATATCTAACTTAATAAATCCTTTTAAATGCTTTAACCCCAATTGCCAATAAATTTGTTTCGCACTTAAAAAATAAATTAACTCGACAAATATACAATACGACAAGAATAACAATGTTCGGATACAGAATAAAATGACAAGGATCCAACAAATTTACAACATCGCACAAATAATTCGATTCGATAATAAAACAATTTATCAAATTATATAAGCAAATCAATTTAACATATAATAACTTGCCCATGACTAAATATTCAATCATATTCAGTACATGACCAGTGACCGACCTCATTCACCTTATCCAAGCACAACCGCTTATCCGGACATATTGGTGTTGCTTATCAGTAGGGTCCACTCGATCCATGTACGGAGGATTTTCACGTCATTTAGTCAAGCAAATCAACATTTCAATATAGAAGAACTTTACAGAATTTAATCAATTGAATAGAATAATCAAATGTATCAACATAGAATGATTTCACAAAATTTATCAAATGATCAATAAAACAAACGAAGTACAAATTAAAATTAATTAAAATAAAACTTTTTGCAAAGAGATTTAGACAGAATATATTGTATACCACTAAAATTACTTCAAAACAATTTCCTTTGTCAC